CTCCTCCATCCCCTCTAGAGCCTCCCCCTCACTCAGAACTTCGTGCAAACAAGTCCCATACACGAGAGTCTCAGTCAATAGTAATAATCCCGTGAGGATCCAGACCCTCTGCAGCAAGGAGCATTCCTCTGTGGGAGGAGCAAACACCCCGGCCTGCACGTGCAAACGCACACACACACACACACACACACAGCCCCGTTAATTTACGTATTAATTAATCATCTCAGTTCACAGCATTGTGTAATGGAGATTGAGGTTTTTTCCTCCTGTATCTAAGATTTCCGTGCTCCTCAGGCCCGTGCACCAGTACTGTCTAACTGCTGTCTTTGGGGGACCAGCCTGGCCTGTTTTGCAGAGCGGAAGATGAAAAGCTTCCTGCCTGCAAGTCAGGGTGCCTCCCGTGCTTTGGGCTTTTATGACAGAGTCTGAGTTTGGGGGACCCCTGTTGCAGCAGCCTTGCCTTACCCTCGCAGGGCAAAATGGAAGAGGTGGGAATCAAAGATGAGAAATGAAGACTGACTCCTTCCCTTAATTCACCCCAGATCCTGGTAGGATGTCCACACTGGCTCTGCTAAGCATTTCCCCAGTGTGAACCTGCTCCCCGGGGGTCTGGGGCTGGAGACAATGGAACCCCTGTTCCTTTGTCGCTCCTTCCTTGCTGGTCGGTCCTGTGTCTCTGCAGCGGATTTCCTTTGCCGTAGGTGCAGTCTGCATCCCTTCCCTCAAGGTCTGTTTCTTGGACCCACAGTCGGGAGATAATTTCCTCCTTCGTTTCGGCCTTATCGCTGGCTGCACACACGCACCCCTGCCAGGAGGGGAAAATCCGTCCCTTTTTGCTTCTTGAACTTGAGATGCTTTGGTGTTTGCAGCCAGGAGAATCTCATTATTGACAACGTGATGAGCATGTGGAACGGGTGCCTGGCTTTAAGGAAGGCCACCGCAGGGAAAGGGTCAGACAGCAGACCGAGAGGTGTCCCTGGCAGAGCACCCACCACCATGCCAAAGGGTTCTCCATGGGGGCTCTTTAAAGAGCCGGCTCCACTTGATGCATTTGAAGAATTTACAAAAACTCAATTTACATAGTTTCCCAGGCCAAAGCTATCACATGAAGTTTGCTACTAGGAAGAAGCTGTCCCTTCTCAGCCCTGGACGGTTTTTGAAAAACTGAAATCATTTCCAATTTGCTGGGGGGTGGCAAGTGCAAGAGGCCAACCCCAGAGTCGGAGATTTTTAGTAAATATACTGAGTTGTGTGACCATCACCGCAACCTGAGTTTAGTACCTTCCCATCACCCCGGAAAGACACCCCGTGCTACGACTTGGGATGTAATGGATCTCTTTGATTCCTGAGTGAAAGAGTCAAACTAAGAGGCAAAAGCAAAAGTAAGTTTTGAAAAGAAATGTGTCTCGCTGCACGTGCCAATGACAAACTCCTGTGAGTGGAGGGGTGGGCGCGGCTGGCAGGAGCTTCTCTTAACTGCTGGAGGTTTGACGCCTCCTTAATGCTGAAGTTATAACAGGATGAAGGGCTTCCAGCTGCAGCAGTAACTGCAGGATATTAATAAGATCCAGAGAACTGGTTTAAAAATGGAAATTATGGGCACAAAAGCCATTTGTGTATTACTTCTAAACTTGATGATCCCCGCCCTCTTTGACATAAAAATCTGAAGATGTATAAAAGGGTCTATGCTAGAAGATGGTAACAGCAGGAAGAAAAAAATCCAAATGTGTTTCAAACTCTGTGTTCCCGAGCCAGCAAAGGTGGTTGGATCTTCTGTCCAGGGGAGTGCAGGGGGTGTTTGTTTGGTACCCGGATTGAACCCAGGAGCACTTACTGAGCCACATCCACATCCTTTTTGTACTTTATTTGGAGACAGGGTCTCACTGAGTTGCTTAGCACCTTGCCATTGCTGAGGCTGACTTTGAACTCGCAATCCTCCCGCCTCGGCCTCCAGAGCCGCTTGTATTATAGGTGTATTCCACTGTGCCCGGCTTCATTAGTTACTGTTAAATGTTAAATTCCAGTTTCTTCTGTTGGTCTTGAAAAGTGAGGACCATTCTGTACTCAATCCATGACAGGATCCAGAGATCATCTCTGCCCCAGTGGAAGAGGTCTGATGGCCACTGAAAGTGGCACCTGAGCAAGGGTTTTCTGTATTTTGCCTAGAAGACTGGAAGGTTCTGGTAGTGTAAGTTTTGGAATCAAACAGTGGGATCTGGATTTTTTTTTTTTTTCCTTCCCATCAGCTACAAGCTGTCTGTGTTTTTTGCTTGGTTGGTTTGGGATTTGGTGTTCTGTTGTTTGTTTGTTTTTATTTTCTTTTTTGGTGCTGGAGATTGAACCCAGGGCATCGTGCTAGACAAGAGCCCTACTGGGGAGCTGCACCCTAGGTTTCCCCTCTGCGCTTCCATCCTGGAAGGCTCTTGGCCTCCCTCCACCGGTCCTACCTGGTGTGATTCTTGCCCACGCCCCTTAGCTAACACCTGGGCATTACTGAGAGCCTGCTGCACAGCTTCTCCCCAGGTTTGCAGCCACACAGAGAGCATAATCCTCTTTAAAACCCAGCGCATCTGAGCAGGGAACAGTGGTCTGAGGATGGAAGGGAAGGGGTCCAGTTGGCAGCTGTCAGTCCGGCTTCAGATGTGGGAAAGTGTGCTTTCAGGTCTCCACCGGCCCAGGCGTGGTTTGCCTGCACTCTGGGCTGGTTTATGAGGTTCAGCACTTGTCTCTGCTTAAGGTCTCAGACAAAGTAACTTTTTTTTGCTTTTCCCAGCAGCTTTGAGTTGATCAGAGGAGTTGTTCAGGCACCTGCTATGGCGGATGCTGGCCACTAGGGGGCGCAGCCCTCCCTCTGCAGAGCTATGGCAAGGGCCCCTCTCCAGCTTCCAGATAGATTCCACAGGAACAGCAGGCACCCCACCCTGCGGCTGGTCCCCAAAGAGAGCTGCTGGCCCAGAGGGTCCACACTGTTTAGCCCTCTGGCAGCAACAGTAACTCGATTGTGATCACTGTGTGAGTGGTTTCTGCATCAGCAGAGAGAATGGCCCAGGGACCTTATAGCTCTCTTGTGTGTTCTGGGTTGCAGCCCCAGCTGTATTCTCTCTGGCTGTGTGACCTTGGGCAAGTCGCATCCCCTCTCTGAGCCTATTTCCTCATCTGCCAAGGGAAGTGGTTGGAATGAAATCTCCTTGATCTGTAAGGGTCCCTTCAGCAACAGTGCCGCCAGCAACTCAGCACTGAAGACCCCTTGCGGGGAGGGGCGCCAGGACCACCCTGCAGGTCAGCCCAGACCTGAATGAATGAAGGAGGGACTAGACTCAGTCCAGCAGACCGAAGTTTGAAACCTTCTGCCACATCATCACCTGCCTGGAAGCAGAGGAGCGAGATGGAGTCTGTGTCATAGAATCCTTTCACATCAGAGCAGGGGGGAGCTGAGAGGGCTTGGTGCTCCGGGGTTCTGCATTAGTCACATTTTCGTCACTGTGACCAAAATACATGACGAGAATAACTTAAAGGAGGAAGGGTTTATTTCGGCGCACTGTTTGCGAGGTTTCCGTCCGAGGTCGGCCAGCTCCGTTGCCCCGGGCCCGGGGTGAAGGTCAAACGTCATAGGGGAAGGGCCAGCAGAGGGACCTGTCACCTCAGGGCAGCAGAGAGAGGGAGGGAGAGGCCAGGGACACTCCCAGTGACTCAGTCCTTCCACACCCCACCTGCTGCGGTTCCACGCCCCCCCCCCCCAGTCATCCACTCGGCTGTGAATAAATTAATCCACTGATGAAGTCCCAGCCCTCAGGACCCCGTCACTCCCAAGAGCCCCACCTCTGGCTCTGGCTGCACTGGGGACCAGGCCTTCCACACGTGGCACCCGAGGGTCCGTCCAGAGCCAAGCCATAACAGGTTCCCAAAGTCTTATTAGCCTGGAACCGTCCACTCAGATAAACTGGAATGGAAGCCCAGACAGAAAACAGAACCGTCTGGTCAGAGCCAGGGCCCGGAGAGACAAAGCCTCCTGTCCTGTGTCACTGAGCAAGAGGGCGGCAGAGCTGGCCAAAGCTGCCCCACCAGGCACAGTCACCCTGGGAGGTGCAGCAACTCAGACTCGTAAGGGTGGGGAGCCGCGGTGCAGGAGCCACTGACGGCCCCTGTGTGCCCACGGCACTGGCTTCCCTGTACCATGACTGAATCCTCCAAAGACCCTCAAGCCCAGTATCATACCGTGGTTCTCGTTTAGGCTCAGAGAAGTTAAGTGACTTGGCTCCCGTTGCAGAGCTCAGAAGTGCCTATGCTGGGACTTGAACGGACGTCGCGGTCCCTGCACTGGCTTTCCTGAGGACAGAGTTCAGTCCTCCTTCACTCATTCAGGTCTTCACTGCGTACCACGCAGGGACCTGGTGTGTTCCCTGGCCCTCACACGTGACTGTGATAAGGCAGCCGGAGCCTCTGCCCTCATGGGACCTCACTGTTAGAGGAGGGGACAGAAGGTGAACAAATGATGTGTGACAAGAAGAAAAAGGACACAGAGACCCACCTCAAGTGGCCCTGGCTAAAATATCCCTGGTCAGCCGGCCAGGACACCCCACCGCCTCTCCACTGCCCTCTTCCTGCCAGGACCTGCTGGAAAGGAAGGGGACACTGTCCCCCCCACCTTCCAACTTGCAGGCCATCCGGGTCCACAGCAGGCGTGAGCTTTGTGGGTGCTGGAAAGAGACCCGGGTTCCGACTCGGGCCACGACACTTGCTGACCACATGCCTGTGTTTTCCTTAACTCTAAAATAGTGACAATGGGGCTTTGCAGGAATAGATCAGGGACATGAGGGCTCCACCCAGGCCCTGGAACCCAGTAAGGAGAGACCCCATAATGTGCCTGTGTGTGCATGTGTGTGTGTGCACGTGTGTGCGCATGGTGTGACATGTGTCTCCTTCAGTGCGGTTGGGGTATCCCTCCCAGGAACCACTGTGGCCAGGGACACTGATGGCCTTTTTCTGGGGTCTCTCGCCAGATTGCCAAGGGATCATCGAGGACGTCATCCTGCTGGGTGCCCCCGTGGAAGGAGACCCCAAGCACTGGGAGCCTTTCCGGAAGGTGGTGTCCGGGAGGATCGTCAATGGCTACAGCAGGTCTGTGCACCCTCTCTCCGGCGGGGAGGTGACACCTCTTCCCAAGCACCTAGGGTCCCAGGCCTCGTGCTGGGGACGTGCATTTGACACTGCTGTCCCAGTGCAGGCCCCGGCCCTGTTGGCAGCGAGGCCCAGGCCGGGTGCTCTGATCCGCTAAGCGTCCATCCTTACAGGGTGGATGGCAACGGGGGAAGATCCGGAAGAGCAGAGGATGTCCCTGGGTTGGGCCTGAGGCCACTTGCCTGCTGACAGGAGCCCAGCAAGGGCCCAGCATTGGAGCTGGGAGGGGCCGCAGGAGAGTGGACGTGACACTGACGGTTTAAATAGAGATGGGTCCCACAGATGGAGGGCTGTGGACGAGACCGAGGGGCTCTGGGTTCATCGTTGTTGAAGGAACGAGCGAGGGGTCTGGATTGAGTCTGCAGAACGCTGTTTCAGGGCAGGGCAACAGGACGGGAAGCTGATGGCCCGCAGGTGGCCCATGGCCAGAGAGTGACAGACCCTCTGACAAGAGACAGGGCCAGCCTCAAAGGAGAGCAGCCCCGGCCTGGGGCTGGGGGAGGGGAGCTGAGGGCTTTCTGTCAAGGCTGGGACCCAGGGTCGGGAAGAGCCACCACCCAGACCTCGTGGGAGAACAGGCCAGAGGACCTTTACAGACTCCAAAACACAACAGGACCCTCAGGACTGGGGGGCCACTCAGCTGAAGTGCAGAATGCTGACCAGGTCACCCAAGGAAGGTGACATTCTGAGCTCCAAATACAGGGCCGTGTGGAGTTCAAGAAACAGTGGGACAGGTGATTACTTGTAGGGGACGAGAAAGGAAGGAAAACATGACTTCACAGCTTGCATGGGAGCTGACTGACTCCAGTTGAAACAGCTTTACAAATTAGTAAGGACAGCCAGGCGTGCTAGTGCACACCTGGGACCCCAGCTGCTCGGGAGGCTGAGGCAGGATTCCAAGTTCAAGGCCAGCCTCAGCAACTTAGCAAGACCCTGTCTCAAAATTTTTAAAAAAATCAAAAAGACTGGAGAATGGAGCTCAGTGGTAAAACATCCCTGGGTTCAAGCCCCGTACTTTAAAAAAAAAAAAAATCGCCAAAGGATACCGTCATACAAACTCACAGAACAACTACAAATAGCCAGTAAACTTTTAAAAGATACCCAACTTCCTCATCATTCATTAAATAAATACAGGCTATAAAACGGGCTATCACAGCTTCACTTATAATTAAAAATTTTAAAGAACCTAAATGAGCACAAATAAGGCATAGTTAAGAGGGTAACACAAGAGTGACATTTTTAGGGTGTCAGACGCGGCTGGGTTAAAGGCTTGGCTCTGCCGCTCACTTTGGGGTGGCGTCCCTGAGTCTCAGTATCCCCACCTGCAAAGCTGCACAAATAGGGCCTCCCGCACAGGGGTCCTGGGGAGATTATGAAGGAACAGGCTGCACGTAGTAGGTGCCCCATAAATGGCAACAGTGGTTTGTGGTATCTGTTAGTGGGCGTCTTCACGTGGTGAGGTTTTTGATTCTTGGTTTTTGTTATTTTTTTCACAACAGCCAAGGGAAAGCATTAAAATTGCAAGTGTGCGGTGTGGAGGCACCGCGGTCTTATTAAACCATCTGTTCTGTTGAGAACTGGAGGCTAAAAAGCCTGGTTTTCAATTATGTTAGAGACCCTCGGCCGCGTCTCTGTAGAGAGAGGGAGGGGAGCTGCGGCCCACCGACCAGGTCCAGGGCTGGAGCTCCGTGGTCCAATTAAGCATCCACTAGGAGTTTCCGCTCTCAGCCCCCTCCGTCTTCCGTGGCTGTGAACTTAAACTTGAGGGCGGGGAGGGAGGGCAGGTCAGCACCAGCTGCCTGCGTTTATCAATGTGTGACTTGGATTGGTAACTCTTGGCCAATCCTTTCACTTTTGGGGGCTTCTCTTGACCCCCTGGGCTGGGTCATACTGCTCCCTGTCCCCCCGAGTTAGGGAACCTTGGGAGGGAGAGGTGACTTGCCCAGGGTCCACCAGGCAGAGCCCGGGTGCTCGAGGGCTGAGTTCTGGTCGCCAGGGTGACTTCCCTTAGCCCAGAGGTCAGAGGCCACCCAGCGTCTCTGCTCCAGCTGACGTGTGGAGGGGTGACAGGAGGACAGGAAGGCCCCACCACGGTGGGAGAGCCTGGAGAGTGAGCCAGGTGCCCCTTCAGCCGGTCCCCACGATGACTGATCCTAGCTGGGCCACCCCCTACCCCCGGGAGTCCTGTGACTGAGGGACAGTCCTGACCTCAGGGAGCCCTCTGTCTGGAAGAGGGGAAAGACCAGGAACACACAGGGGGACGTGTGGGGACCGTCCCCAAAGGAGCAAGTCCCAGCACAGGAGGGCTGAAGGGTGGACAGTACCAGGTGAGGGCTCAGGGCACTCCTGGAAGGTGTACAGAGGAGCCCGTCAGAGGCCGGAAGCACAGGCCCAGCTGAAGAGGAGCCACACACCCACAAGGCCCAGGCGGGGAGGTGATAATCGTCCCCAAGACTTCTTGAGCATCCGTGTGTCCCTGCACCACCTCATTTAAATTCCCACCGACTCTGGGAGCTTAGATCCACCGAGGCTCAGAGAGGGCAAGCACCTTCCCCCAAGGTCACACAGCTCATAATGGACAAGGCCGGCCCTGGAGAAGGGTCTTGAGTGCCAGTGAGGGACCCGTGGCTCGCTCAGGACTCCAAAGAGGACATAGGACCTTTAACACATTCCTGTTCTGTCCCTAAATGTGCATAAGGAAGGGCAGTTAACAGTTCTCAGTAAAGTGTTGTCACAATCACAACAGAAATAACGTAGAAGCAACGCTTTTCTTTGCTCCTGGGTAACTATAGCAACAGCGTCTGTGGGCCATCCCCAAATCCAGTGTTTGATGCATCTGAGTCTCATAATTCCTCACTAAGACGACTTGGATCATCTCCTTCTGCCCTCGCCGTCCATTCTGGGTGCCTCTGGGACCCTCGGCCGTAAGGTAGACACTGGGACTTGGAAGCGATGCTCTCTGGAGAGTTATGGAATTTTCTAGAAGCAAAAGCTCATAGGCAGAGGGGAGCCATGGTCAGTTCCTGAGAGAAGAGGGGTGCTTTAGGAAGGCCACGGGGTCCCAGAGGGGAGAGCCAGGGGCGGGGGCGGGGGGGGGGGGCGAGGAGACCTTGCATTGGTCCCTGGGGGCAGGGGAGGCCCTGCCTGTCCTCCGGCTGGGAGGAGAGTAGACATTGAAGACGGGGCGGAGTAGGGACCAGCAGGGCAGGGGCAGGCCAGCCACAGGTGGGGACGCCTGAGATTGGATTCTGCTTGAGGGACCGAGCAGATGATAGCCGGGAAGGAGTGGGGGGCCGAGGAGCCCTCCACCCCAGCAGGGGTCTTTAGAGGGCCCTGGACACTGGACTCCAGTCCTTCTGGGGCCTTCCCCACTGGCACCTACATGTGCACTCCTGTGGTGGAGACCCCAACGGGGAGCTGGGAGCCCGGGAGACAGCACACCCAGGCCCCAGGCGGGTGGGGACTTGCCCTCTCCTGCCTCTCAGCCCCCTCCCGGGCTGCAGTGAGGGAGGCCGGTCTTTCAAGCTTCCAAAAATAATGGACCAGGTGATCAGGGAGCTGGTGCCCGTGGAAGAAACCAGACGTGCACAGTCAGGCCTGCCCCCCAGGTACTACGTGGCTCGGCTGGCCCAGCGCCCCGGGACAGAGCTCAGGGTTCCAGGAAGGCCATATCACGGGACCCTCAGACCCGTCCTCCGTGGACAGTGCTTGTGGCACTAAAACGCTGGGCAGCAGAGTCCCAGGAGGCTTTCTGTGGATGGGGTAGGGGTGTCTGGCTGGGGAGGGGGAGGAAGTGGGGTTCACAGCAGCCATGAAGGGACGAGTGTTCCCGGGCATTGACCCCCTGGGCAGCCACCAGGCCTCCGCCAGGAGACTGAGGGCCAGGAGAACCTGCGTGGGCCAGGCCTGTCCTGGAAAGGCAGAGCTGGTCCCCTGACTCCATAGCCCCCTCCCCCTTGACCCCTCAGGGAGCCCTGGGCCAGCCACCTGCCCAGCTGGGCACAGTCCCGAGCGGCCTGCTGACTGTGGGGAACGGGGTCAGTTCCCTCTTTATTCCCGCAGCCCTGGGTCAGCCGGCAGGGCTGGGATGCTCATGGTGGAGCTGAGGCCCGGGTCCAGCCCCAACAAGAATTAATGAGGTGCGTCTATGACATGCCAGACACTCTTCTTGCCTCTGGGGACCCAGAAGGGACCCAACCAGACAGCCTTCCTGGAGCCACCGTGGCCTTGTGTAAAGCCCTCAGCTCGGTCCCCCAGACCTCCCAGGAGACAGGCAGGCCCAGCCTGGCGTCTCCCCAGGCTGACGGTGGCCCCGTCTCTGCCCACAGGGGAGACTGGCTGCTCAGCTTCGTGTACCGCACGTCCTCCGTGCAGTTCCGCGTCGCCGGCCTTCAGCCTGTGCAGCTGCAGGACCGCAGGGTGGAGAACGTGGACCTGTCCTCGGTGGTGAGTGTCGCCCGCGTTTGCCTGTGTGTGAGGAGGTGTCTGGCCACCCCAGTCCAGCAGCCTCAGCCCTGGAGAAGTGGCCCCGGCCGGCTCTGCGCTGGAGCAGGGAGAGACTGAGAATCTGCTGGGCGGGGACAGGGGCGACTGACCAGGCTCCTTCCTCCCGCAGGGCTCTGTCCCCCGCCTTCCACTCCAGTGCTGATCCTCACTGGACAGGCACTGCTGTCCCCGTTTCATGGATTAGGGAATCAAAGTTTAGAAAAATTCCTGTCTTGCAGGACATGGTGGCACACATCAGTAATCTGTCACTCAGGAGGCCAAGGCAGGAGGATTACAGTTCGAGGCCGAAGTTTGTCACCTGTTCTCAGCAATGTAGTGAGACCGTGTCTCAAGAAAAAGGGCTGGGACGTTGTTCAGTGGTAGAGCACTTGCCTAGTGTGTGTGAGGTCCGGGTTCATCCCCAGCACAGCAAGGGGGAAAGAAAAGAAAAGAAAGACAAGTTCCTGTCTCGCAAGTTGCAATTACCAGGGCTGGACTTGATCCCCCAGAGCCTACACTGGCCCCCCACATGACTGCGTACCACCCCCATTCCCAGGTCTTCCCCTCCCACCCCACCCCGTAGCTCTCTAGTCAGGCCTGTCTGCCCCTCCCTGAAACCACCAGGTCAAGCAAAGGACCAGGTAGAGGGCTCCAGCCAGACCAGAAGCAGAGGCAGAACCCAGAGCTGAGCCCTCATCAGGGGACAGCCCGGGTGCCACCGCCAGACCTTCCAACTCCGTCTCTAGGGGGCCATGTGCACCCTGAGGGGTCCTGCTGGCGAGAATTCTTGCAGGGATGGGTGGAAAGAGCCTGTCTGGGCGGCCACGCAAACAACTCGAGTGTCTAGATGATCTTTAAGGCTTGGAGAGCCTTCGTCCACTGAGACCTGCTTATCATAGCGAGTGGGAAGGGGACCTCTGTGAGCCTCGGTCTCCTTATCTATGAAATGGTGGAAACCACCTATCTTCCCCCCGGGCAGCACATGTAAGCCTCTTGGTGCAGGGCAGGCCCTCATCTCATACTGGTTCCCTCGGCGCAGGCCCTGCCAGCACCTTCTGGCCTTTGCCTGTGGGACCGTCGGCTCCCAGTCTTCTTTCCCTCCTCAGACTGCCTCCCTGGCAGCTCCCCAGCTCTGCCTAATAATAGCTCTTTATCACATTAGGAGCCGCCCAGGGCTCTCCTCCTCCGGGCAATTAGAAGTCATTAGGCTGCCTCTGTGTTTCCCTGGGAGGCTGCTGGGGCAGGTGGGTGGAGGAGGGTCCCCGCTGCAGAGCCCTGCAGACCTGGGTCTCCGCTGACTTCTGCCGGGGCTGAATCTCCAGGGCCCATAAGTGAGGGGGGCCAGGCGGCCTTCCCGCCTGGGGACAGGGTTCAGCCAGCAGAAGACTGCCCCTCCCCCGCGTCCCCACCAGGGCAAGTCCCTTCATGTCCCATAGGAGATGCCCGCTGGCCTCCAGAAGTTAGCAAAGGGCCTGGCACCACGTGGACACCCGACCCCGACAGCTGGCAGGCGCCTGGCACTGCCCGGTGGCCACAGAGGTTTGTCACCTGTTCACATGGTGGTCCCACTGCGCAGGCGAGGCCTCGGGCAGTGCCCTGGGACCCGCCAAGAAGCCTGGGCCACCTATAGTGGCCTTGTGGTGCAGGTGTCCCCATCAGTGTCATCTGAGGAGACCGAGGCCGAGAGGGAAAGGAGTCCAGAGGGGCCCAAGAGGCCGGAAGGAGTGGCTGGGCAGGCAGAAGTGGGTGGGTCCGCGTCTCGGTGGGGTGTGGGGGTGTCTTGTGAGGCAGGAAACAGGAGGAGCCCTGGGGGATCTGGACCCCACAGAGGCCCCCAGGAAGGCCCTCCCCAGCAGGGACCGTCAGAGAGGGCTTTGCCACGGTGGCGCAGTCCCGCGTGTATCTGGGCAGCTGCAGATCAACCAGGACAGCCAGGGAGCTGGTGGGCGCGGACGTCTTCCTCCAGCACCCGCTGGGCTGGAGCGCTGAGTGACTCCCGCCCCCGCGCCCCGCCTGGGTGGAATGCAGCTCAGAACGAGGCTTGGCTGAGACCTGGGCCCACCTGTAGCCAAGGAGGGCCCCAGCTGCGGGTCCTGGGACAGCTGTGCAGTAGCATTTCCACCCAGAGTCAGTTGTACAAGCAACCACAGACACGTCCCTTTCTTCCTGACCTGGCCTTTCTTCCCCACCCTTTGACCAGCCTTTCACAAGCACTAAAAAGATAGAGGGAGGCAGCTGGGTTTGTCCTTAGAGAAGCAGTTATCGTTTGTCTCCTGTGGGTCTGAAGTTTCTATTGGCTGAAATTCAGACATGATGGCTGGAGCTTAAGCAGCCATTTTGGGTTCCTCAATGGATTCCCCCTTCTAAGAAAGCTAACGTAAGGGAACCACATTCATGGAGCATCGGCTGCCTGCCAGACTGGTGCTTTGTGACCGCCTGCCAGCCCCCCGAGGCTGGGTATCACTAACTCAAATGGAGTAATGTCTCTATAAAAACTCTTCTGAATTGTACATGGAACATAACGGTAGAAGGTCGCATGGACTCCGTTCCCGCAAAGCACCAGGCCCTCCAGCTCCTGCAGCCATCAGGGTCTTACCCCCATTTTCCAGGTGGGGAAGCTGCAGTCAGGATATGGCAGGGGCCCAAGCTCCTGGCAGAAGAGAGCAAGGCAGCCTGGGCCTCAGACGCCAAGCCTCAAAGTAAGCCCCCTCCTGTGGAAGGGCGCGGCCTCCTTGGCCTCCCCCTGGACCTGGGGCCTGAGGAGCCAGGGGCGGCCCTCTCTGTGCAGAGCGTGGGCCTTAGGAACAGGCCGGGGCCAGGTCCCTGCTCCAAGGCGTTCGGCTGGATGCTGTGGGGCAACCCCGACCCTCTCTATGGCTCAGTCTCAGCCACAACTAGCAGCCAGCACCTGCCGAGGGCCTGTGTCCACTCACGTAGGTGCTAAGTTGTGTGCAGACCTACTCTGTGTCGGGCATCGTCGGTTGCCACAGCCCGGCATCGCGTGCTCCCTCCTCGGCCTCCTTTTCCCTCACAGACACATCCAAGCACAAAAACGGGGTCTTATTTTCTGAGGAAGGGGGATGGGCGCTTCTGAGTTCTCGGCCCTTGTGCTAGTTGGGATTCGAGCCCTATAATGGATCCCTGATGTTGATTCTGTCCCATGAATAGGCACTTTCCGGCTGACTTGTTGGCTCCACAGTATTCAGGGGCCAGAGTCCCCTCCGTCTGGCTGCTTGCTGTGCCACCCTAGTGGTCCAGTTCATGGCCCAAAATGGATGCTCAAGCTCGGGCCATCACATCTGATTTCCAGCCAGCAGGAAAGAGGAAATGAGTCAAGAAGAGCACGGCTCCTCAGGGGCACCACATAACACCATTGCTTCCTCTCTGTCTTAGTGGGTTTATGCTGCTATTCGAGAGTTCCTGAAACTAGGTGATCCCCAATGAATGGAAATGGAGTTGGCTCTCATTTCTGGAATCTGGGAAGTCCAAGGGCATAGCATGGCACCTGGTCTGGTGGGGCCTTCTTGCTACGTCAGCCCATGGAGGAAGGCGGGAGGGAAAGGGAGAGGCACGGTTACTTTTATAACAAACCCACTTGTAAGGACCGGTCTGCAATGACGTCATCGCTCCCCTCTGTGTGTGCGCAGTGCTGGGGACAGAACCCGGGGCCCCACCGCGCTAGGCAAGTGCACTCCCACTGAGCCACAGCCCCCGAGCCCACTAGCCCTTCTCGAGGCACCTCAGGACCTAGTCACCTCCAACACTGTGGCACCAGGGCTGGGTTCCAACGCATGAACTCAGGGGGCCACGTTCAAACTCCAGTCATCTCATTGGCCAAAAGCATCTCAGCGCTGCACCTCACTGGGCGGGCGGCTGGGGACCCTGTGTGGGTGCTGTCGGGCTGAGGCAGGAGGGGCCGGAGCACTGAGGACAGATCTCATGGTCTGCATCTGGGCTTTATTTTACCCCCTTCGAAGCTGGCCTTACTGTCCCCGTAGTACAGCTGAGACAGTGAGGGTGGGGTAGGGACTTGTCCCAAGCCCACAGCTAGGAGCAGCCGGGCCACTAGCTGCAGGCAGAGGAGACCGTCCACCTGGCTGTCCAGTCCCAGAGGATGCAGGCCGCATAGAGAAACGTCCTCCATCTTTACTTCATAAGTTCTAGACCTCCTCTGAGCCCGGGGCCCTCCCACCCCACTCTGGATCTGGGAGACTCTGAGATGGAGGCGTGGGACTGGTGACTGGTTGGCCAGGGACAAGGACAAGGTCCAGAGGCTTCACTGGGGGACCCAGGAGGGCTGGGCCCTGCCCACCACCACCGTGGCCCTCACTCACTGTCCTCCTGCAGGTCAGCGGCCACCTGGACTATGCCAAGCAGATGGATGTCATCCTGAAGGCCGTGGGCGTCCGCACCAAGCCAGGCTGGGGCCAGAAGGGGCTCTTGCTGGCCCCAGGCGGCCCGCCCCAGGAGGAGCCTCGGCAGGCAGCGGCAGACAAGACCAGCCGCCAGGATGGGCAGACCCAGGGTCCCGCACCCAGAGACACCGCCAGAGCGTCCGCTGACCCCAGCCAAGCCCAGGAGCCAGTGGGGCCGCATCCATCTGAAGGGGCCTCGCTTCCTGCCGCTGCAGGCCCAGCCGGGAGCCCCCCTATGTGCAGCCATGGTGTGGACCCCAACCCACTGGGCTGCCCTGACTGTGCCCGCGAGACCCAGGGCCCCTGCCCGGGGCTGGACTGACCCCAGCGGGGGACCTGGGCCATCTCTCGGGTTTCTATATGCAGCTTTGGTTCCGCTGAGCCCCCAGGTGAGGGCTGAGGTGGGCAAATCCCTGCAGAGGCCGCTCCTGAGATGCAGGGGTCAGACTTGAAGAGGGACCAGAAGGAAGGACAGTGGGGGACAGTCCTTCCCTGGGGAGCAGAGGCTGCAAGGCCAGCCCAGCCCGGCGGGAGCCCAGGACTCCCAGGCAGCGGGGGCTGCCTGCACCCCAGGTCCCAGCTGTGGGGTCTGGCTGTCCAGGAGGTCCCGAGAGATGTGCGGGGCTGGGACTCCCAGCCACCTGCCTCCCCGGGCCCACTCACCGGCACCCACAGGGGCGCAGGTGCCCAGGGGGCAGCTCCCTCTCTCCACTCAGTACACGGACCAGCTCTGTCCCGCGCAGTCCTGCCGTCTGGGCACAGCACAACTATAGGAGCAACAGTCACGTAGCTGTGACGTTGTAAGCAGCCCCCAGAGCTGCGCCATATCATGGGCTGGAGCAGTAAATGCCGAATCAGCACATGGAGTGGCGGGAACTGGGCCCAGCGACAAGAATGGATCTCAGGGGAAGGGTCTCCTACAGCAGGAACAGGGAGGAAATTAATAAAAAATAATATGAGCGGCAACCGCGTATTATTTACCCCATACCAAGCGCTCACCGGGGTTGTTTCCACCCACCTTCACCCTGTGGAGCAGGTACTATGACCATCTTCTTTTCATACTTGAGGAAAATGAGGCTCAGAGAAGTTAGGTAACCTGCTGAAGGTCACACAGCCCATCAGTGATGGAGCCCTCATCAGTGCCAAGCTGGACGGGACAGGCTGTGCGGACAGCTTTGAGGGAGGTGGGGGAGGGCAGAAGTGAGTCACAGAATGTAGGCTCCAAGTGGTGCCGGGTGGCGCTCGGGTGCGGGCGTTTATTCATCCTGCAGACATTTACACAACTCCTGCTGATTCTAGTCCACACTGCTCACACCACATGTGGGAAGCCAGGGTCCAAAGGGCACATGATCCTGGGGTCCCAAAGCACATTAGGGGCAGAGTCAGGGCCAGAACCCAGGACTCTTGGGCCAGGGTCACTTCCCATTGTCCCAGCGCTTTGCAAGCCCCCAGCGTTGCCGCGACAGAATCCAGTCCACACCACGGTCACGTCCTTCAGCGAGAGTTTATTGAGAGTCCCCTCGGGCAGGCCTGGAGGCACGAGGAAGTCCCAGCAAGCACCATGGCCCCTCTGTGGCCAGCGGCCAGCGGCCCGGGCCGGCTTGAGTCTGATCAGCACCAAGGAGAGCGCCAGGCCATGCGCAGGGGACCCCTGAAAGTCTGGTTGGTGGGTCTTCAGGGCTTTAAGGAAAACCTCAGGCTGCGAAGGAGCCTCGGGCAGGTGGGCCGGGAGCCAGGAGTCCCCCACCCGGTTCCCTGACCGGAAAGCAAGGCCCCTGCCTGCAGTCCCCCACCAGGGAGAGCTCTCCTCAGCTCTGCTCTGCTGACCCTGGAGGCCCCTGGCCCTCACTGACCCCAGAGAAAGCTAGAAGGAGGTGGGACGGGGGCGGGGCTTCTCCCATCGGCTGTTCCCTTCCAGGTCCAGGGAAGCCCAAGGCCAAGGGAGACGCATGACCCAGGCTGAACAGGAAAGTGCTGTCCGCCCTTAGCGCCAGGAGGGACAGTGCGGAGGCCAGGAGGGTCCCTGAGCAACGGGGGCCCCACCCAGCACCCAGAACAGGGAGCTGGGGAACCGAGTTAGTCCCCGGGAATCTGGGCTGGGACGGAAAAGAGGGAGCGAACTGTTAAAAGAACGGAGGGTCGGGGGGGGGCAGCTCAGAGCAGGAGCGCTTGGTTAGCAGGTGCCCAGCTCTGGCCTCCACCCCCCGAAAAGAACTACACGAACAAATAGCCCTTCCGGGCCAAAGCCAGGACCCCTGGGCTGGTGGACCATACGCGGACCCCTGCTGAGGCTGGAAACACAGTACGTATCATGCTCATGCTCACAATGACCCGAGGGTTGGTGTCACGACTACCCCACTTCACACATGGGAAAACCGGGGGGGCTCTCAGAGGCCAAGCAGCCCGTGCCAGGCCCCCAAGGGAGAAGCAGAAAAGCAAAGGTTCAGGTCCAGCCAGCCTGCGCCTGGGAAGGCCAGGGGCTTTCCTGTGCCGCCACACACGTCTGGGGGACTGGCAGGTCCAAGCAGTGTCCTGCACGGCATTCTCGGGGTTAAAGATCCCCTCTGCCAGCCCCCTCCAGCCACAGGGGCCCGTGGCCAACCTGGGCCTTTTAACACACACTCTGACTCGGCGGTCTGGGGTGGGCAGAGATGGGCATTCTGAGCAGACTCCCAGAAGGCCATGAGAATGCTGACCGGACGCTGAGGAGCAAGGGATCGGGCCAAGCCAGGACCCGCGTCGACAGATGGACGCGTCCCCTCCCACCAACCTGAGAGAAGGGGCAAAGGACAGGAATTTTTCTCATCCTCCTCTGAACCAAGAAGTCCTGCTCCCGACTCCCAGAGTCCTCCAACCATCCCCCACGAACCCCGAGTCACACTCAGGAAGGGACCATCTTGCAGAGAACGACACCCCAGGCAGCTCCTCCTTCAGGCCGGTGGCCTGGAGCTCAGGGGTTCCGTTGGCCTGAGACCTTGGGGGCCCGGCCTGTCCGACCCACCTCCCCGCCGGCCGGCTCCAAACTCGGTCAGCTCGTGGGGGTACCCAGCGGGTGCAGCCGCAGCTCCCTGTCCGCGGGATCGATGTCAAAGTTGACCATCTGGGTCCTGGCGGGCAGCGCAGGGTCCCGGGTGGCCTCGCCAGGCAGCAGTAGCTGGGCCGTGAGCTGAAGGCCCGAGGAGCCTCTGGAGCCCGAGTCCGAGTCGGAGCCCGAGTCCGGGGGCAGCGGCAGCGGCAGCACCTGCTGCAGGCTGAGGCCTGGCCGGGCGCCACTGTGAGAGGTGCGCATGGAGGGGGACGCCAGGCTGGCCCGGCGCTGCTGAGGACAGTGGGGGCACGGCAGGAGCCTGGCCAGGGCCCGCTTGAAGTCCCGCATGAAGAGTGGGTAGATGATGGGGTTCATGGTGCTGTTGCAGTACCCCAGCCACGTGAGGACATCAAAGAGGCCCGGGGAAATGCAGTCGCACACAGCCTGGGGACACAGGTGGGTCACCCTCGGCTGAGAGCAGGAACCGGATCCCCGTACCCAGCCCAGAGGCGGCAAACACCACGGGAGGTGCCCACCCTCCCCCTCGTCCCACCCCCAGCCACGGCCTTACCTGGGCCACGTTGGCCACGAAGAAGGGCAGCCACGTTACGAAGAACATGCCCAGCAGGATGCCCAGCGTCAGGCTGGCCTTCAAGGCCTTCCTGCTGTGCTTGGTGGCCAGACGCCTGCTGTCAGCCGACTCCCCGCCTGGCCGTGGGGTCCTGGGCACCTGGCAAAGGAAGGTCACGGCAGTCAGGTGAGCAAGAGTCCAGTTTGGTCCTGCTCCTGGCCATCGACTGAACCTCAACCCCAACTGCAGGCTGAACTCTAGAGCCAGCGGCTGAGTCCTCACCCTGGACCGGCCCAGCTGCGGCCCCAGACTGAGGCCTGACCCCGACTCCAAACTGCACGCTGACCATGGCGCCCAACCAAGCCTGATTTGGGCAAAATGCTAAGTACTGACCTCAGTCCTAGACCAAACCCTGACACCAACGTTTCAAACTGAGCCAGGCATGGACCTGGATGAGCCCTGAACTTGACCCTGACCCTGACCCTGACCCTGAGTTCCACAAAGGAGCTCCAGGCAGCGCAGTGGAACAGTCATCCCCCCAAGTCAACCTTCAGCACACAGAACTTTCCAGAGCCTTTCGCAGTTCAAGAATTGAATACACTTGAACAGCACTTGAAGAAAGAGGGAAAGAGTGTGTGCAGCCGCCAGGCACCGCCTTAGCGTATGGAGTCTCTTCCTATTTGGGAACAATGCGTGTGCCTGTGTGATGACTCTTGTGCTCCGTAAAACAGAAGTGTTTGTTGTAGTTTTTGGAGAACGTGTGCACAAAGCAAACGATCGCCATTGAATCTTTTATAGATTGCTAGGGATGCTAGTGACCTTGGAATCCTACAAGTCACTTATGCCAGGACCAGCGGGCATCTCCCATCTCGACAGCGGACATCAAGAGCGGGAGAGCAGCCAGACACGGTGGTGCACACCTGTAATCCCAGCGGCTCAGGAGGCTGAGGCAGGAGGATCATGAGTTCAAATCCAGCCTTAGCAATGGTGAGGTCCTAAGCCACTCAGTGAGACTCTGTCTCTAAATAAAATACAAAATAGGGCTGGGGGTGTGGCTCAGGGGTTGAGCACCCCTCAGTTCAATCCCTGGTACTTAAGAAAGTGGGGGGAGAAGCTGTTCCCCAGCAGCCACCAGAAGGAGGACCAGGCCAGGGGCCGTTAGAACTTCAGGAAACCAGCGGACCCGAAAGCTCAAATGGCTCTGCAGGGCTGGTCCCATAGCCCAGAAGTTCTCCTTCTTAACTTCATGAAATTTTAAGAAACTGAAGTGACTAGTTGAGGGTGTTTTCTGTCCCCCAGACATCCTAATCTCAGTGCCTCCTTTCTCTAAAGAGGGCTGGTCTAGTGGTGTGGAGATTGTGAAGGGTCTAAATTCCATTTTCTCTTAAGGGCATTTAAGTTGCCTTGACTTTTTCACGTGCATTTGGCATATTAAACACTGTTGTCCCAAAAATTTGCTTCTACTACAAATAGGCCTGGGGGGACTCGGGGGACTTGGTTGGTTGGTTGTTTTTTTTTGTTTTTGTTTTGTTTTGTTTTGTTTTTGGTGGTTGTTTTGTTTGCAGTACTCAGGACTGAAGCTAGGAATTGAACCACCGAGATACATCCCCTGCCCTTTATATTTTTTATTTTGAGAGAGGGTCTTGATAAGTTGCTGAGGCTGGCCTCCAAATTGTGATCCTCCTGCCTCAGCCTCCCAAATCCCTGGGATTACAGGCATATGCTACCATGCCTGGCTACATGGGAAGGTTTTAAGCAACACATATTTATTTAGTTAGTTAGGGCCGAGTCAGTGGGCAAATACAGAAGCATAAGGCATTTCACTATTCTCAGTAGGGAACTCAAGTGCTATAAATGAAATTTTCATGTGATTATTCTGGCAGTGCTCTATACAGAATGGGTTTGGATCAGAGGGAGCCAGCCCTACCAGGAACATGAAGTGAGAAAATTCTGAATTGTTAGACAGGAATGGAATGAATACACTTGAGAAACATCTAATCCCCCCCCATTTATAATATGGAAATGGAAGTACCTACCTCCTGGGCCAGATAGTGCCAGGTACACAGTAGGAGCTCAATAAAAGCTATTTTCTTTTCCTTCTCTCTCTTGATTAACTTTGTCCCACCTTCATTTCTGTTTTTAATACTTATTTTTTAGTTATAGTGGACACAGTGTCTTTATTTTACTTTATGTGGTGCTGAGGATCGAACCCAGTGCCTCACGCATGCTAGGCAAGCGCTCTACCTCTGAGCCACAACCCCAGCCCCCCCCCCCATGAGTGCTCATGTCATTGAGTAGAACTTGGAAGTAAGCTGAGTGTGGTGGTTCACGCCTGTAATCCCCGCTCCTCGGGAGGCAGAAGCAGGAGGATCACAAGTTTGGGGACTCGGCAATACAGCGAGACCTTGTCACAACATGGATTAAAAGGGCTGTGGGTGTAGCTCAGTGGTAGAGCACTGGTTGAACATGGCAAAGCCCTGGATTCCATCCCCTGCACCAAAACAAAAATCTAAGTAATCTACAAAAACCTCTCCCCAGAAAATAAAAAAAGCTCATCAGTTTGTACACACACACACACACACAAAGTCCCACACTTCCAGAAGGCACTTGGAAGGCTCTAGCCTCCATCATGCGTCCTCTAGAGTCCAGAAAGCTGGGGAGGGAAGCCCCCTGTGAACCATGTGCTGAGACCAACCTGGCTTTTCCTATTTAAGATTTACTCAAAGTGAGACCCACCTATCTTTCCAATTTAAGGACGTGCCAGCGTGCACAATTTACAGAATGGTCGCGTGGGCCACGGGGAGCACACTTGGGCTTTGAAACCAGGGAGTGGCCAGCGTTTCCTAAATTGCACGAGAACCTTCCTGCGACAGACAGTGGTGGGCTGGTTGTGGGGAGATGGAAAGATCAGAAAGAGGCAGGAGGGAGCCAGATTCCCAGGCAACCCAGGCAGATGGGAAGGGGGCGGAGGCGGCAAAGCCAAGATGTGTCACTGCCGAGTCCCCCTACCCCTCTCTGCAGAGCTCCTTCCCCCTGTGCCCTCCCCTTTCCAGAGGCAGAGCCTTGTCCACGGTGCTGAAACCCGGCCACAGCCTGCGCCCTGCTCTTCCCCAGCACCAGGGGTTCTCATTCTGGAATGGAGCAGAGGGGCGGCAGGGAGACAAAGCACACCATAACTCCGTCCCTCTGTATGTTTTTACAAATACGGAAACTTGGCTTTGCGGATGTCAAGGACAAATTCAGGAAAGCCCTGGATTATCTCTCCTGTCTTGGAGGGCAGCGTTGGACGGAGGCTGGCAGGGCTTGGGGGTTCTGGCACTGGGGATGAAATCTGGGGGCACTTTACCACTGAGACCTTTTCAGTTTTTATTTTGAGACAGGGTCTCACTAAGTTGCCCAGACTGACCTTAAACATGCCATCCTCCTGCCTCAGCCTCTCAAGTTGCTGGGATTTACATGCATGTGCCACAGTACCCACGCCCCAAAACAGTGTACAGATATGTAAACACGGAATGAGGACCTGGAGGACATGCCCAAAAGACTGAGTGCCCCTGGGGATGGAAGGGAAGGATTTGGGGGATCTTTTACTTTATTGTTGAGTTTTTATTTGAAAGCAGGGGTGCAACTCGGTGGTAGGGCACTCATTTGGCAAGGGCCAGTCTCTGGATTTGGTCCCCAACACTGCAAAACAATCAAATAGAGTGGACTTATGTATTCCCTTGTGCATTCCCACCTTGTACCCTCATCTGATCACAGTGCGAAGGCCACAGACATGCTCTGGAGCCCGACTTCCTGTGCTGGATTCTGGCTGTTACTACCCAGCTGAGTGTGACTCAGGCAAGTTCCTCCACCTCTCTGTGCCTGTGTCTCCTCTTCTGTAAAATGGCAATTATAAGACCATCAACCTCACAGGACTGGATTAGGGATTAAGTGAGATAATACACAAAAGTGATCAGAACAGCTCCTGGCACATAGGGTCATGTAAGTGTCAGCTGTCATTACTGCTGTTTATTGTCAGTGTCCAGCTTAGCGGGTCCTAATGGCAACATTGATCTAGTGGCATCAATAGGAAGACAGGGATTTTTTTTCAATGCTGGGGATTGAACCTGAAGCCTCACACAGTCTAGGCTACTGAGCTCAGCCCTGGGCCACAGGATAAGTTTCGTTAGTCCCAGGGGGATACGGGGTGGTGAAATGACTTCTCCAAAGTCATCCAGCTGTGATGGCAAAGACAGGACAAACACCAGGCTCCTGCCCGGCCCTGCCTACACCAGCTGCCTGGCTTGGAGCAGCCGCACACAGCCCCTGAACCAGCCTCTCCCAGCTCGACCCCCTCCTCCCCCACACAGATATTCCTGTGATCACAGCCTCCTCCAGAGAGGAGGAGGAGGAGGAAGGACAGAGGTGGAGGGAGATGGATCACTGAGACAGCACAGGCACAGTTGGGTGAGGGAGAGCGAGCGAGGGGGTGCAGAGAAAGGAGGCTTGGGTGGGAAAGGAGGGGGAGGGTGGGAGATGCAGCGGAGGAGGCTGCAGGGAACTCCCAGTTGGCTCCCTCCTGTTACTGTGCCAGGCTGAGCACCCACACTGCCTGCCTGGGTGCTGCCCCAAGGCTGCATGGCCATGCCCTCAGCCTCCAGAATCGCCCAAGGCTGAGCACCACTCCTACCCGGGCACCCACCTCTCACACACGCACACTCACGTGCACACACATGCACACTTACATGCACACACATGCACACTCACGTGCACACACTCGCTCGCACCACCCCCTCCCCGCAGCATCTGAGCCCCACACCCCAGCCCATCCCCCGCAGCCCAGCTCTGAGCAGGGCCTCTGTCCCCGGCCCTGGGCTGCCAGGAAGGCCGCGGAAACCACTGGACCAACCAGAGGCTTCTGAAAGCCCATGGCACACACAGGCGTATGTCGGGGGGACACCGATGCTGACCAGCAAGAAGGTTCTCAACCCCGGGGGGCGGGACTTCGGAGACCTGTGCTGGGCTTGTCCCCTCTGTGGGGAAACTAGAGGCTGTGGGGGGGAGCAAAGGCAGAGTGGGCGCAGCACCGGAGGACAGGGTCCCTGAGGCGCCTTAAGGTCCTGGCACGGAAAGAGGCCCCACGTCCAGGCTGGATGCTGCTGGCCTCTGTGGCAGGCAGCCCTGGAGGAGGAAAAGGGTCACCACACAGGAGTCAGGATAGAGCAGCAGCCCAGACACAAATTCCCCAAAGCAGGCCATTTCCAGAGATGAGGATGATGGATACACAGGGCTCGCTGAGGAGGCCGGGAGGGGGTGGTGCACATCTCAGGCTCAAGGGCTGTGGGTCATTCTGCCCTGGAGGTAGGGTGCTGGCCCCAGTGCCCAGGGCATGGCCCCTGGTTTTAAGGCTCACTCTGACCTCTGTAGTTTCCCAACACACACACAGTGAGTAGATGCAGAACATTGGCTGAGAGAGGCGCCCCTTCCCTAGGCTCCACCGCCCTCCTGAGAGCCTTCATGACCAGCGTCTGCCTCTCCAAATCTCTCTCTCTCCAGCCAAAACCCAGATTCCAAGAGGGCAGGGCCTCGCCAGTCCTGCTCACACCACATCTGCAGCCCACAGCAGCTCCTGTACACAGTAGGTACTCAATACATGCTATCAAAGAAATGAATTCACATGATAAAAAGCTTATCACTAGGCTTATTATTATGGGTGGTGGCACACACCTGTAATCCCAGCACTCAGGAGGCTGAGGCAGGAGGATCACAATGTTAAGGCCAGCCTCAGCAACTCAGTGAGACCCTGTCTCGAAATCAAAAAATAAAAAGAGCTGGGGGTGTAGCTCAGTGGTAGAGCACCCCTGTGTTCAATCAATCCACAGTACCAAAAAAAAAAAAGCGATTTAGAATCTCGCCCAGAGAGAGACTAGGCATCGACGTGGGCAGCCTGGGGCCCCAGCTCCCTGGGGTGCTGTGCTCACTCCATCCCCCTGTGAACACGTGCTGAGCACCCAGGATGTGCTGGGTGCCGTGTGAGGTGCTAGAAACACACAGTAAACAAAAAGACCAGTCCCCACCCTCACAGAGCTTCATCCTCCTGGAGGAAGTAAGTAATCAACAAATAAATGGGTGAGTATAAAATATTTCAGGTTATCCTTGATGCTGCCAAGAGAAATAGCTAGGGAAATTAGGACTGGAGAGGCCCCAGGGAAGGTGCCCTTACTACTCTTTTGCTGGAGGAGGGAGAATTGAACCCAGGGGTGCTTTACCTCTAAGTTACACCCCCAGTCCTTTTTATTTATTTACTTATTTTTTGAGATAGCGTCTCACTAAGTTGCTGAGGTTGGCCTTAAACTTGCAATCCTCCTGCTTTAGCCTCCTGAGTTGCTGGGATTACAGGTGTGCCCCACCACGTCTGGCTGCAAGTTAGTACCCTTGAGAGACAGATTAGGGAAGGAAGTGAATGGAGGCCAGAAGGAAGAAACGGGAAAACCTATGTAGGTGTGAAGGAAGAATACTCAAGACAGAGGGGACAGCAAGTGCAAAGGTCCTGAGACAGGAATGGGCTCTGTGTGTTCCAGGAATAGCAGGAGACCAGGGTAGCTCAAAGAGAAAAAACAAGTTGGCTGGTGAAAGGAGAGGAAAGCCAGATGAGGAACAGAGTGTCTGGGGACATGAGATGCAAGGTAACCAGAGCAGACAAATGACTTGAAGGGACAGGGATCACTCAGCTACTATATAAGGTTGAAAGGGAGCAAGGTCAGAATTAGAGAGTCAGTTTGGAGATGAATGCCAATAACCCGGGCGTCAGTGAAGGGGCCCAGCCCTGATGGGCAGCAGGAGAGAGGAAAGACCCGCTCAGAGCCTGGACATGCTGTGAAGGTAGAGCTGCTTCTAGGTGGTCAGTGGATGCCGCCTGTGACCCCCCTCTACCTAGGGCAAGGGCTGCCAACTGTCCACTTTCTTCCAGAGTTACCTTCCTTTTAACTCAGAAAGTTCCCACAGGAGAGAAACCTGCGTTCTCGCCTTTCATACTCAAGTCAAGTGACAGAAAAACCAAAGGACTTAGGAGGGGACACTGCACCCAGTTGGGAAGGCCTGATCAAGTGAGCCGTCCGCTGGCCCCAGAGAAGAAAGCAAATCTTTATAAACATAAGAGAGAGCGTGGGCCGGCCAGGGCAGCCAGCCCACCTCTGAAGAAGCCAGTCCAGTCATAGCCGCCTGTTGGAACTCAAGAATGTTCTGGGGAGCACAGATAGGGAGACCAAGCAGGGCCACCCTGGCCTCTGAGGTGGAGGGCCGGGTCCAGCTCTGAGCCTCACTGCTGAGTGCCACAGTGCAGCTGCTCTGGGAGGCCACCAGGAGGCTGCGAGCCCTTTACTCCAGTCAGGCCCCAAGCCAAGATGACCCTGGGCAGCCCAGTGCTACCTCCCCCAGGGCCTTAGACTTAGTGACCCACGTCTTGGAGGCTCAGGCCTCATCAGCCTACACTCCACCTCTCAAGACGAACCACAGGGCTTGGGCACAATGTGAGCAGTCAGGCCACTTGTAGGGCTCGCAGAGCGTGGAGCTCAGAGTGCCTTCCCCATTCACAAGCAGTTATTGAGCATCTATTATGTGCACTGGGGACCAAAACTGAGCTAGATCCATGCAACCCCCCACAGGGCTAATATTTAAGCCAGGATGACCAAGACCACAAGTAAGCTGGGGTTTGATGGAGAACAGATGGGGCAGGGTGATGGCTCTGCAGACAGGACGGTCAAGACCATTCTGGGAACAGGTGAGCTGGAAAGGGTCAGACAGGAGCAGGCCCAGGGAAGAGCATGCCAGGCAGAGGGGACAGCAAGTGCAAAGACATTAGCACAGATTGGAGCCTGGTGCCTGCTAAGGGCTGCGTGAGGACGCCAAGGTTGCTTGGTGCAGCCTGAGAGAGAGGCAGAGGGGAGACAGGGAGGAAGGCTGCAGGACCACATCCTGAGGCCACATCCTGAGATATCTTGAGTGCAGTGGGGGTTTGAGCAGGGGAGCAACTGGTTACTTCCTTTGTAAGTTGCTCTGGCTCCTGAGCAGAGGAGGCAGCCGCTCACCTGCCCTGGAAGCAGGCAGCCAGCAGAGGCCTCCCAAGGCTCCCAGGTGAGAAGCAATGTGGCTTGGATTCGGGAGGTGCCAGTGGAGACAGCACCTATTCAGGAGGCAGAACCAACGGGCCTGGATCAAGAATGGCATGAGTGCAAGAGAGAAATTCTCCCTGAATTTCTGGCATGAGGCCACCATGGTGCCATGATGAGGAAGACAAGGGAGGAGCCGATGGGGGGAGGGTGGCCACCCTAGATTCCCTGCGCACAGTCAGCTGCCTGCCCTGCATCCCAGTGACACTGTCCTGAGCTGAGAGGAAAGGTGGGCACCAGGAAGGCCCAGAGGAGGTCATCGGCAAGTCTCTACTAAGTGGTGGGCCACAAGGGCCACTCATTCCTGTCCATCCCACAAGCCCAGATCTCCGGGAGCATCCCCAGTACCTGCAGTGTCTCCAAGGCCTGGCTGGCCACGCCGGTGGTGAGCGAGGCCACCTGCACGGCCTGCCTGCGGGCAGCCAGGAGGATCCTGCAATAGGTGAAGCAGATGGCACCAGAGGGCAGAAAGAAGGTGAGGCCTGACGCCACGAGGACGAAGGGCAGACTGGGCAGCAGTTGGCACTGGCCCAGAGCAGGTGCCCGCACGTGGCCCAGCTCGTGCCAGCCCAGCAGCAGAGGCAGGAAGGAGGCGAGCGCAGCCAGGCTCCAGGCGCCCAGGACCAGCGCCAGGGCGCGCGGGGGCGTCATGCGCAGCTTGTAGCGCAGCGGCGACAGGATGAGCAGGTAGCGGTCCAGGCTGATGAGGCAGAGGTTAAGGATGGAGGCGCTGCAGCACATCACGTCGAAAGCCGCCCAGAGCAGGCAGAGGTCACGCGCCAGCACCCAGCGTCCGTACAGCGCGTTCAGCATGGCCGGTGGCATCACCACCAGCCCCACCATCAGGTCCGACGTGAAGAGCGACACCAGGAAGAAGTTGGACGTGTTGCGCAGCGCTGGCTGCGTGCAGATGACCGCGATGAGCAGCGAGTTGGCCGCCGCCGTCAGCGCTATGACCACACACAGCACGGCCGCCACCCAGCCGCTGCCCCCGGGGGCCGCCGGAGGTCCGGGGCCCCAGGCCGGGGTGCTGTTGTTGGCAGGGCCTGGGTCTGGGACCATGGAGGCTGGGGATGCGTACAGGGACGTGATAGGATGGGCGGGGAGACGGTGAGCAGCCTGGAGGAGCCGAGGTTGTTGTCCGCGAGAAGAGCAACACCGTCCCCAGGCGGGTAGGCGACAAGAGAGGGTCGGGGCGCTAAGGGGCAGCGACCAGAAGTGGAGGCACAGGGGTTATATCTCCCGCGCCCCGGGATGCGGCAGGGACCCCTCGAGGCCACGGGCAGTAAGTTTGGGGAGGGGCACCTGATGAGCGAGTCCCCCTGAAGGGAGCCGCGGAAAGTTAGGCGGAGGTCGGCTGGGCTCCCCCGAGTGGGACAGTCCCCTGAGGGGGCGGGCCTAGGGTCTAGGGCGGGGGCACCGGGAAGGCGGGACCCCAGGCCGAGGGCGCTGTCCGGCGGCGCAGGCTGCCCTGCGAGGGTGGGCGTGTTGGAACGCTAGATCGAAGCCGTCGCGCTTGGGGTCGCGGTTTGGTGGCCCAGGCACTGTTGCAAAGCCCAGCGGGGAAGGCAGGTCTCTCTCCCGCCGGCGCAGAGGCAGCCCTGCGGCACGCGGGAGGCCCCGGGCCGTGCCGGGCAGGCCCCGCGGGCGGCAGAGGGCAGCGCCGCGCTCCGCCCCTGCCCGCCCGCGCTCCGTACCTGGGGCGCTCGGCTGCCGGCGACTGCCGCAGGCCCGCCGGGCTGGAGGAGACGCGGCCGTGCGCCGGGGACTCGGGAGCACGGGAGGCGCGGCGAGGAGCCGGGGCTGCTTCGGGAGCGCGCGGTCCCGGGGCCGCCGAGCGTGCGCCCCGCCCCGCGGTGGGCGGGGAGACGGGCCCCAGCCTCGCCGCAGAGGGTCCCCGTACCCCAGGCGGTGGAGGCACGCTCCGAGCGCCCCAGCCGCACCGAGTCGCCTCCAGGGAGATGGCAGTCCCCGCACCCCCGCACCCCCCTCCCCAGCCCACACGTGGTGATGGCGCAGGCGGAACTCAAAGAAGAAGTGGCTGTGACCTGCCGGTACCCAGGGATCCCTCCACAGTAAGCTCTGGTCCCTCCCGGCGAGGGTCGCCGCGCTTTCGAGGGGAACCAGCTGCGGAATACTGGGCAAGTCTCTTTATCACCCCTCTGGGCCTCGATTGCTGAACCTATAAAATGGGCTAATAATTCCCGGCATCTTTCCCCTTTAGCTTGAGCAGTGAGCTGACTCTTCTGGTCTTTTGAGCAAGAACCAACACCGCACCAGGTACTGCGGAGGCAGTCCCTGACCTGTTATCGTCCCCAGTATAACAGCGAGCGAACCGAGGTGGGAATCCTCCAGGGCGGTAGGCAGAGGGGTGTGGCGCCCCCTGGCTGTGACCCTCCGCTAAGGCTGCTGTGCAGATTCATGTTGCAGATTCCATTCCTCATTTGACAAACAACTTCTTCAGCACGTAGTAGGCATCAGACACTGCTGTGACTACTCAGGACACTGCAGTGACCAAAACAAAGATCCCCGCCTCCGTGGAACTTACCTTATAGTGGAATAAACAACAAACATAATAAACATACACAGTGATCATAAGGTGATCGTTGCTATAGAAAAAAGGAAAAGGCACAGCAGTATAAAGAGGATCTGGAGCATCTTTTTCAGAAAAAGAAAAATAAGCCGGGCTTGGTGGCGCACGCGTGTAATCCCACCACTCGGGAGGCTAAGGCAGGAGGATGGCGAGTTCAAAGCCAGCCTCTGCAAAAGTGAGCTGCGTCTCTAAATAAAATACAAAATAGGGCTGCGGATATGGTTCAGTGGCCGAGTGCCCCTGAGTTCAATCCCCAGTACCAAAAAAAAAAAGTAATATTTCCCACGTATAAGGCCCTGCTGTGTTCGTTATATTATTCCTATTCTTAATATCCCCAAAATTAAAGCGGAGAAGAAGGTATTTAAGTGGGGCTCAGAGAAGTCCAGGGCTCCTCCCAAGGTCCCGAGCAGCAATCAATCAAGCAGAAACTGAAACTCAGATCTGCTGTAGGTTTAGGACACAGGGAGCCCGCTACCATGGTGAAGGTACCTCCTGACAAAAACTTCAGACCCTGCAGCGCCTCCACCCACCCCTAAGCCCCAGTCCTGCCCACAGGTGAATCTAGGCAGCAGTGGAGGAGGCCTCTACACCGCACTACATGTCTCCGGGGAACAGAATGTACTAACAGAAGAGCTGGACCCAAGCTCAGGAAGCTGGCTTGAGATCCTAGATCCACTGCTTAGCACTCTGAGGTCCTAGGGCCACTCTGTCTCCTTGGGTCACTGCAGAACAATTCAGTATCTGCCACCCAGGGTCATTGAGGAGATTAAATGGCACTGGTGTAATCTGTCAACGTGATGGTGCCGTTGGCCTGGGGTCCTCAGCTATGTAGTAGGAAAGCGTCCATCCCTGTGGTACCTCCTCTAGCCAAAGGAGTCCTGATGTCAGGGACGGCTATCTCATCGGACACTCCATAGAACAGATTTCAGAGCCTGTGAAATGGGTTCCTAGTCATGATTCTGCTACTTGCTCTGTGAGGTTGGCGAAGCCTCTTAAATTCTCTGCTTTTCTGATATTAGGATACCAAAGATGCAAATAGGGTGAATATTTAAACCTTCTGGAACAGAAGAGGTCTTGCCTGACAAATTTTAGCTTTGTAAAAATCAGTATATAGTGGGAAAGAATGTATCCTTTGTTTTAGATTCTTCTATAATGTGCAATACCTTTTATTTTTTGTAAAGAAAACACAATGATCATTTTATTTATTATTGATTGATGGATACTGAGGGTTGAACTCAGGGGTGCTGTACCACTGAGTTCCATCCCCAACCCTTTTATTTATTTATTTTTTAAGACACAGTCTCACTGAATTGCTTAGGGCCTTGCTATGTTACTGAGGCTAGCCTCCAGCTTGTGATCCTCCTGCCTCAGCCTCTGGAGTAGCTAGAACTACAGGCAAGCACCACCACACCCAACATGACGATCATTTTAATATGAGTTCATTGTGGGCGATAGATACCTGGATATTAGTCATCTATGGTTTATACTTTGCTATAATTTTAGAAAATCATTTTTGTAAGGATCGGGCCGCAGTAGTGATGCCACCTTGTGGCCACATTGTTATTAAGTTGAACTTGAGACCTTTGCAGAAGCTCCAGCTCTTGTCATTCATTTCAGTTACAGAACAGTCCAGTCTCTGACTTCCTTAACATTGCAGAGAGGGACTTTCAAGAATGATCAGTGATGCCGGGTGCAGTGGCAGCACACCTGTGGTCCCAGCGGCTCAGGAGGCTGAGGCAAGAGGATCATAAGTTCAAAGCCAGCCTCGGCAACTCAGCGAGGCCCTAAGCATCTCAGCGAGAACCTGCCTCTGAATAAAAATAAGAAAAAGGGCTGGGGATGTAGCTCAGTGGTTAAATGCCCCTGGTTCAATCCCTGGTACCAAAACAACAACAAAAAAAGATTACTTCTGGCCCTAGTGAATTTCCTCTCTGAAGGAGACAGCTGGGGCCTCAATGGGACAGCTGAGCCTTAGGAAGCCTCTGCCCAGAGCTTCACACCTGGCAGGGCATCAAGGACAAGCAAGCGAAGGTCCTCTTGCAGAGATGGAGAAACTGGGGTCCAGGGGGGTTGCCAAGTCCTGCTAGAAGCTGCTCTCAGAGAAAGTATGGACCAAGTGCATAAACTCCCTGCAGGCAGGTTCTGTCTGTTGTGGCACATAGTAGGTTCTCAATAAATATCTGCCCAATGAATGAATGGACACAATCGTCAGCCCAACCACCTGCAATTATTCACTCTCAATAATAACCTGGCATTTGTTGAGTTTTTACCAATTTCCAGGGGATCTTGCAAGCTCTCACGTGCCCTGACGGGGGAATGCTCACCTTGACCCTGGGGAGTGAAGTTAGTGTGGTGGGTAGTCCCCATTTACACTCAGGATAACTGTGTTTCAGAGATCTTCTGTGAGTTGCTCAAGGTTCCACTTAGGAAGTAGAGAAGATCTGAGCCCAGGCATCCTGACTTCCCCTCCCCGGGGGCTTGGGACAAGGACAGTAGCTCCACATAGGCAAACAAGGGAGGGAAGCCAGAACCAATTATCCCAATGCCCAGCCGTCCAGAGAGGGCCAGTACTGACCGTGCTGATGCCACCGTTAACCCCTGGTAAAGACTTCAAATCCCTCCGCCCTTGTGGGGAGGGGCAGGGGGCTGCGATTTTATTCCTGGGCTCATTGGGTTGTTCCGTTTGAACTAGGTGGAGAGAAATATCAGAAGTCACTATCCCACGTGTGTCTGTCTGTCCCCATCTATCTATCTATCTATCTATCTCCCCTCCCCCTCTCTGGTTCCCACATAGAATCAGCAACAACTATCCCGCGGAGCCCGGCCTTCCCACCCAACTCTGGCCTCCAGCATCTGGGTCTGGACTGGCCTTCAGCCTCTTCCCACCGTTAGGTCTGGCTGAAGCCCAGCTCTGTGTGGAGCCTGGCTGCCCACGAGCGGCCTGCCCTCTGGCCAGCCTTCCAGGCCCACCTTCCCGCCTTTTCTCCACCCAGCTTCTAATTAATTCAAGTTTCTATCCGCTGAGACCCTTCCTTGTTCCAAACACAGGATGGAGGACCAAGACTACTTCTGTCACCGAGAGTGCTCGGATCCAAGCCCACTGGGGCTCAGAGATCTGCACCAAGGACCTCGAGGGGCACATTTACTGCCAGTATTTTGACCTCCGTGCCCGAGTGTGCAGACGTGAGGTCAGGGCGGCCTGTGAGCCTGCGCGAGTCCTCCTGTTTCCAGAGCCTCGTTTCCCATTCTATAAAACAGGTGTGGCAGTCCACGCGTGGGCTCTGGGTGCTGGCGTCCCCCAGCCTGGCAAGCTGCCGGCCAGCCTGCCCCAAGCTGTTGCCATGTCTTAACTGCCTGACCCTGGGGGACTGCTTAGTCCTGTACACCTCAGAGGCCTCACCCTCAAAATGAGGGCAGTATCTGTGGGCGTCAAGGGGCTTGACTGATGGGAGGAACTTAGCTCTGCGGCCCTGCAAGGGCTGATGCTGGGTCACTAGGAAGGGATGGCAGGAGGCGGGACCAAGGCCCTGGTAAAACTCCAGTCTGGAGGCCCACCCAAGGCACAGGCAAGGCCAGAGTGGACCCCTGAGGGAAGAGGTGGGCCCTGGGAGGAGCGGAGCAGGGCCCAGGAGGCACATGGCAGGCGGGTGAACGGGTCCCAGGATGCAGGGAGGAGCTGCAGGCGGTGCCTACAGACCTGCCCACCCTACACGGCGCCGCTAGGCGAGGGCTCCCCTCTTCTGGACCCCTGGAGGAAGCACAGGGCAGAGAGCGCAGGCTGGAAGGCGTTTATTCATAAGTCGGGGTCCGTAGGGAGACCACTACTGGTTACAAGCTCTGGAAGCTCTCGTCAGGACAGGGACAGCCATGGAGCAGGCACCCAGGCAGGGGTCGAGGGCAGGCAGCGGCCCGGACACAAGAGCAGCACAGGCAGTTCGGGGGCCTGGGAGGGTCTTCTCCACCCCCCTGCGCCCCTTGGTCCCACACCCCTCTAGGGTTAAAGTGCAGCTGGGGGGGGGGGGGGCGGGACGGGAGCTGGAGGGTGAGGCCGGCCGGCTGCCCACAGGCCTCCTCGTCCTGGTTTCCCAGAGGTGCCACAGTGTCCACTCAGGGCCTCCTCTAAGCCTCTGGGGGAGGGACATCCAGAAAGTTAGAAGGACCTTCCCCCAGACGGAAGGGCTGGTTCCCATCAGCTTTGTGAAGGGCCTAGAACTTGGGGGAGAGGAGGGAGGGATGGTCTTCTTCAGGGGTGGCCTGGGGCTTGCCCTCCCCCTGGCCCGGGAAGATTCTTCCTTTGACCCCCGCTTCTCCCCACACCCAGGCACCCAAGGAAGCCCATGCCAGGCCCAGAGAGCCTGGCTGCTGGCTCTGGGGCCCCGAGTCAGGAGGGGCCTGCCCTGGCCTGACTCCCAAACCACTCCATTGAGGGAGCCACTTCCGGCCCTGGGAGAGCTGCTTTCCTGGGGATGGGGGTGCAGGGGAGGCCTCTGGGGAAACCTTCGGGGCTGGAGCTTCCGGCTTCTGCCAGCCATCTCCCTGGCCCAGCCGCCCCTCCCCCACGCTCAGCCCAGGGCTCTGGCTGCAACATGCGCCCACCCCGGGGGATCCTGCCCCACCAGGGGCTTTGAGGACCTGGGCCTGGGCCTGCTATCTCGGAGGGCCTGACCCCCTCCTCAGCAGCTTAGCTAAATTCCTCCCCCTCCCAAGGGCACATCACTAGAAGGCAGAAAGGAAGACCCCCCCCCAACACTTTCCAAAAAGAGCCCCGCAGACCTCTGCTTCTGCCCCTGACACTTGAATATATTAAATTGTGCAGCATGGCTCCAGCCCCGCCCCTTCAGGTCTCCATGGCAACGGGCAGCATTCCAAGTCCAAGTCTGAATCCAAGTCCGTCCAGTGCCAAAGCTGGGGGCTTCCGCCTCTCCGCTCCCTCTTCCCCGGAGGCTGAGACCCGGCATCCCACAGGGGGCTGGGAGGGGAGCGGAGCCGGAGGCCTCAGTCCTCAGCCCCCTCTTCCTCAGCATGGGGGGCACCCGGAGGCTCCTCGGGCTCCGGGGTCTGCCCACCGGGGTGGGGGTGAGGGTGCGGGTGGGGCTGGGAGCCAGGCTGGGCGCCGGGCGCGTCCTCGCCCTGCACATAGACGCTCAGCCCCTCGTGGCTGGGCTCCTTGCCGCAGGCCTGGCAGCTGCAGTGCAGGATCTTCTCCACCAGCTTGTCCACCCGGGGCACCACCTCATGGCCGGGGCACTCCAAGGTCACCTGCAGAGAGCAGGAGGAGAGGAAGGGATAGTTCCTGCAGCCCGGAGCAAGCGGGGAGGCCCCGAGAGCAGCACAACCTGTGAGGACCGCGACCCCGAAGCCTCCCTTGGCACCCTTAGGTCTGCAGGCCACCAGCAGATGGGGACCAGACCCTGCAGGAGCCACCTGACTCCTCTCCTCACACCTGTCCTGTCCCCTTCCCACCCACTCCCTGGGTACTCTGGGGAGAAAATCCAATGCGGCTTCCCACAGCCCTTGGGAGAAAACCCTCACCCCTCCAGCCACCCAGGGTCTTCAGGCTGCCCCTGGCTGACCCCACTCCCGTCCACGCTCCCCCTGACCTGCTCCAGAGGCCCCGCACATGCTGTGCCCTTGCCTGGACGGCTCCTGCCCAACCTATCCCCCGCCACCTGCCCTAAACTCTGCCAGTTAACTCCTGGAAACCTCTGGGTCGGAGCCCACACCTCCCTTCCTCAAAGGAGGTTCTCCCTGTAGGAACCCCATGAGTACCCTGCCTGTCCCTGTGGTCACCTTCCTATTGCCCTTCCTCCCTTCCTTCCTCTTCTTTTCTCTCCTTCCTTCCGTACAGCACCTACCCCTAGCCAGCTCTCAGGGCACAAGGACAGACATGGACCCTCAAGGAATCCGAATCTAACTAGGGAAACGGACTTGCCACAGTCAGCCAGACATGGGGGTGGGGGAGTCTTCACATGTGACAGGTGCTCAAAGCAGAGGCACAAAGGTCTCTGGGAGCCGATGGAACAGGGATTTGACCCAGTCAGAGTGTCTGGAAAGAGGCCCCAAGAAAATGATGCTTAAGCCAAGAGCAGAAAAATGAACAGAAATTAACTGGAGGGGAGGAGCAAGAAGGAAGGGAAAGGAGGAGGAGGATGGGGGGGGGAGGAAGAGGTTTTCAGACAACATGTGCAAAGGCCCTGTGGTAGAAGGGAGCAGAGCAGGTAAGAAGGGACTAAAGGAGGTAGGCTGATATCCAATGTCCAGCTCTTAAGGAAGGGTGGGGGTAGGGTCTTACAAGGCATGGCAGATTTTGGTCTCAGCCTATAACAATGGGAGGCCCCGGAGATTTTTCAGCACATCAGAATGAGGCTTCAGAAAGATCCTGTGTGCAGGTTGGTGTAAGGCTTGTGAGGCCATCCTGTGGCAAGGACCAGGGTACATCCCCAGTACAAGCCCTGCACCCTGCACAGGGTAACTGTGGCCACCAGCTGGATGGGAGAGCCCGAGCAGGGCGGGTGGGCCGTACTCACAATCTCCCACATGGACTGGGCTGGCATGCAGGAGTCACAGTGCACCAGGGACTCTGTGGACTGCGGGAAGGTGTTGGGGACGCTGTAGCTGAAGCACTGTCCTAGGCACGCCCTGTGGAAGGAGAGGTCACCATGCCGTGTCACCATGGGGGAGAAGGGGGGCAGCCCTGGTCCTCCCCTCCCACCTGCCCCCTGGGGCCCACCTGTTCTGGATGGACTTGGCCTCACAGCCGCTGTGGCCCACAATCTGGGTGATGTTCTTGGCTTCGCACCAGGCACTCTTGTCTGGGAACAGGGCCAGCTTGTTGATGGGCGGGGGGGCGGCCAATAGCATGGCAGGGAAGACAGCCCCCACCAGGACCTGCAGCATCGTGCCCGCAACCTCCAGAGTCCTGGAATGGATCACAGGTGGCAGGTGAGGCTCAGCAAGGCCCAGAGGCCAGGCAGTAGGGTTTGGTGGTTACAAGCAGGACCCAGGGACTTGACCCCTGGGTTCTTCCACTCTTCCACTCACTAGCCAAGTACAGCCTTGGACTAGTTATTTCTCTTCTCTGAAACTCGAAAACCCATCCAGAAATTGTACTGCATCAGATGTGTCGGGAAGATTAAATGAGCTATGAAATGAGCCTCACAGGCAATTCACACTCCATATGTGTTCGTTATTTTTATAACTTACTATGTAGACTTGAGAAAGTTACTTTTTATCTCTGTGTCTCAGTTTCTTCATCTAAAAAGTGGAGATGCTGAATGGCAATTGCCCCCAACCTGGTGGACATGCCTGTAATCCCAGCTATTCAGGAGGCTGAGGCAGAAGGCTCACAAGTTCAAGGACAGACTGGTCAACTTAGTGAGACCCTGTCTCAAAAATGAAAAAGGGCTGGGGATGTGGCTCAGTGGCAGAGTGCCCCTGGATTCAATCCCCTGTACCAAAAAATAATAATAAATAAGTGAATGAATAATAAAGGAGAAGAAAAATAATTGTTGCAGTTGCTGAACAAGACACCAAGTGTTCAAGTCCACGTCCAGCAGTGAGCTCCCTCTCTTTTATGCTGTGAATCCTGCAGGAGAAAAATCCACTGTACTGGAGTGTAGCTCATTGGCAGAGCAAGTGTCTAGCATGTGCAAGACCCTGGATTTGATCCCCAGCACCACACACATGAAAAACTGTCCACACAGCCCTGGAGGGGCCAGCCACCCACCACGTATTTATCCTGGACACCATTGCCACAGCCATCAGAATTCCTTCTGGGGAAGATAAACTCGAACTTCATGTCACAGTGAGTTCTTATGCCACCCCAGTCAGACATATTTCTTTCTCAGATGCCCCTCCTGAGCCTTAAAAAACCACAGGGCCCTACACACAATGTCACGGCTAGCTCCATCCTAACCCCTGAGTGGAGCAGGAGACAAAGCCCAGTTTGAACATCTGCTAATCCCCCGAGATAGGAGGAAGGAGAGGACACCAAGACAATACCAGAGCCTGCCAGAAGATGGCGCTGCAAGACAGTCTGTGTCTAAAGGATTAAGTTCCCCAACTTCACCCTCCCATGTTCTTGGCTTCACACTTCACCCACTGCCCCCCAACCTCCCCTACCCCCACCTCAAAGAGAGTGTGGTATGGAAGGCTGGGGATGTAGCTCAGTTGGTAGAGGGCTTGCCTTGCATGCACAAGGCCCTGGGTTCAATCCCCAGCACCACACACACACACACACACACACACAGACACAACATGTCTGTGGCATGGGAAATTCCAGAGAAATTTGGAAGTGAGGGCAGTGCCTGAGTGGGGTCCCCAACCCTCTAGACAGGGCACCGGGGAAGGGTATACACGTGCTATGTGAGCCTGCACATTCAGGCCTCAGTTTCTCCACCTGTAAAATGAGTTGCCCCAGGCCAGGGGTCACCAAACCCAACCCATCAGAATGCCCTGGAGACCTGTGGGGTGACAGCTCTAGGGTGGGCTGGGGTTCAGCACCTTCAGAAAGCTTCCAGGGAGTGGTTCTGCTGCGGAGCCAGACGGGGGAAGCTTCCAGATCAAACAGTCTGGGGCTCCGGGTCTTTGGATCGTCCTCAAGGGTCCTGGATGAGACTGAATGGGAGGACAGGGGCATGTCCCACAGAAGCCCAGCCCCAGGGCGGGGGATGGCTCAGGACCAGGCACCCCACTCAGAACGGCCCTAGCCTGGACCCTCCTTCTTCAGAAAGCAAGTGGGGCTGGCAGAGGCAGGTCAAGTGTCCAGGGACGGGTGGGGGTGGCCTGCCCCCACAGTGGAAATCTGGGTGGGCTGGCTGAGCGGGGTCTTGTCGGTAGGGCACAGGCGGCCTGCAGGCATGACACGCCACAGCACTCTGCTGTCCATCCAGCATCCCCCTCTGCTCCTGCCCTTCTCCTGGCATTGGCCCTGGCTCACGGGAGATGACCTCTGACTCCAGTCCGGCAGGGAGAAGAGCAGCTGGAGGTAAGGTGGGAGAGTCTGCCCCCACCCCAAAGGTGCTCCCGCCTGGACGCCGGCTCTCATCCACATGTATCCGGCTCGCTCAGAAGATCCACAGGCTTTCAGCACAGTCAAGACAGAGTGGACCTGCTCCTAACTGGCCATCTAGCCGATGTGTGACAAGCCTCCAGGAGGCTTCCTGGTCCCCAGTAGATCCCCTGCCATCTCTAGGGTATCAGCCTGAGCCAGCATCTGAACACGGTCTTCTCAAAAGGCCAGAGGCGACTGGGGCAGGGAAGATCTAGGGTCTCTGCAGGACCTGGGGTGGAAGGAGGGCTGTACGGCCTGTACGGGGGGCATGTGCTCAATCACTACAGGCCAGGCCCAGGCTAGAGCCGAGTGGAGCTGAGGCTGCAGGGCACAGAATAACGGGGAGTTTGGGGAACAGTCTCTGGCCCAGAGATCAGGCACTGCCCATTAGGATCAGTATGGCAGAAGCCGAGGAGAAGTGGGGCACACTGAGGCATCCACCCCCTTCTCCTTCTCCCGCTCCAGTGCCCAGTGGAGAAGAGTTCATCATGAGGGTCAGCCATGCCCACAGAGGGGTGCTGCAACCCAACCTGCCGTACCCTGGCCAGCTCAGGGTACTGGGGCCACCCTCAGCCTCCCTGGGCCAGCAGCCCTGAGCTCCAGCAGACTGCCTCGCCTCCCACCAGACGTGAGGCCCCTGGAGTCTCCAATGCTGGAATCCCGGACCTCCCACCTAGGACCTATGGCATCCAGAAATAAAGTTCACTTCTGGGAACCCACCTTCCCATCCTAAATGGGGAACAGAGAGTTTTCCTTGCAGAAGAACTGAGAAGACCCCAGGAAAGCACTCAGCACTCAACAGGCACCAGTGAGGCCAGCTCTCTTCCCCAGGGGGCTCATGGGAAAGGGGGGCGGCTCCAGAGCCCAGGCCGGGGAGCCTGGACACATCCACCTCCTCCCAGCCACTCTCCTGCCCCCCTACCCAGCCCTGCCCTGCCCAGCCCTGCCCTGCCCTGCCCTGCCCTGCCAGGAAGAGCCCACGCTGCCCCCATCAGTGGGTGGGCTTTTTGCTAGCAGGTTTTATTGTTGGTTTATACATTTTTGTTTTTTCAACAGGGACTCGGCCAACTTTTTTTAAGCAGCAGTCAGACCTTGCTTCCTGAGCCTCCGGCCTCACCCAGATTCTCAGCTCTTCCTCCCCGCCCTGGAGATCACGCAGCAAGTCATGGGACTCCCCAGTGCCCAGGGCGGGAAGAGGAGCTGCGATCTTCCAGGCCACCGCCCCAGGCTTTTCAGAGCCCCGAGGGCCCTGCAGGTCACCTGAACCCTGTCATTCCCTGGGTCATTCTGTTCCCTGGGGTTCCTCTCCGAGGCTCTCCTCTTCCTTACCAAGAGCTTTCTTTCCAGGATGGAGGGAGAGGCAGGGTGGCCAAAAGGAGGGGGTGCGGGGCCCAGCCCCCCACTCACTCAGGAGCTCAGGGCCAAGGGGAAACAGTTTGAGCAAGGACAGCCAGAGATGGCAGGGAGAGGGGAACAGAGGTCCTTAACTGTGGATGGAGAGAGCATTGCACAGGGCTGATGTGGTGGGCAAGGAAGGAGCTCCCGGGGAGGGCATGGCCTATGCAAAAGAGGGAGGGCACTCACAGCCGCTGCCTCACAGAGAGGGCTGGCGAGGCACCGGTCCAAGGCTTTCACCTGAGCCAAGGGACTTGGTCCTTACAGTACCCACGGGGCAGATGCCCCTCTTCCCACTCCAGAGGCGGAGGCACAGAGAAGCTGAGACTGGCAGGAGCTCACACCATCAGTAAGCCAGTACCAGGTGGGCCCCCAGCTGCCCTTGCAGATGAAGGTCACCAAAGAGAGAAGCAAGAAACAGGAATCAGAATCGAGGTGCAGCGCCGAGGATGGAGGGAATGGGCCCCCGCTGGATGAAGCCCGGGCCCTGTGGCTGCCCTCCTGCTCCTGTGCACTTTGGTGTCCAGCCACTGCCCAGGCTGGGACCTGGGGGCTCCCCACATACCCGAGTTCAAATCTCATTCCTGGCTCCCTGCAGATAAGCAAGTGGCCATGGCAGACCCCAGCTCCTTGAGGCCTTGGAGAAGGGAAGGGACGGTCCTTCTCCACAGGGCTGCATGGGCTGAAGGAGGCGCCTTAGCATAGGTGGGTGTCTGACCAAGCCCACCCGCTCACCCAGCCACCTCTCAAATCCAAGTCTTCTGATTCCTCAGGAGCCTCCTGCCACTGGTTCTGAGCAGCCACCACACAGATAGGAGGCCCCCAAGGGGATGACACTGGCTGACCCATTTCAGCACTGTGGACACTGAGGCACAGCTCAGGAAAGTGGCCATCATACCTCCCTCTCTGGGGAAGAGGGCAGTGAGCCAACAGAAGACCAGGGCTGCTGGTGCAGGGGTGGGGGAGGGCCTGGTTCAGAAGGTCACTCAGGAAGGCAGGGAGGTGGGCAGCAGGAACATCCCAAACAGAGCAGGCCCCAGAACCACACCTCCCAGCACTGACAGCTTCCCCCAGATGATGGTCAGAGATGCAGAGGCCTGGGCCCAGCCTGGGTAGTCTGAACCCCCAGCCTGGGCTGTGGCGCAGGCATCTGTACATGTGCTCCCCACATGATGTTGAGGCCCAGCCAGGTCAGGAGCCATAGCCCCCCAGCTCCCCAGGACAGGGGCCCCTCAGCCCACCGCCTGGGTCCTAGTGCCTGCAATAGCATCCTAAATGCACCAGAGGGGCCTAGATTTCAAGGAACACCTCCTCCAGCTTCTACCCACCACAAAATCCTTTGTGTAGTAAAGAGGTGACTTTGTGAAACAGATGAACCATCCCCCTCCCCATTTCCTCTTTTGGTAAGTGGACTATTCAGGGTCAGCTGAGGTCCAGCTCACCAGGATTCCCAGGGTAGACTGTGACTACTCACCTGTCTCCCTTCCTTCCCTGACAATGTGCACACATGTGCAGGCACACACACGCGCGCACACACACATGCACACGCACACGCGCCCACGCCCCCACTGGGCACATCTCTGGTGGATAGGCCAACTTCTCCCTGCAACTTCAGCTCCTGAAGGAAACTCCCTCACATCTGCCCCAGCTGGCTCCCGATGCTTCTACCTGTGGACTCAGCAGTCGGGTGACATGGAAATACACACAATGAGCATGTCGGGTGGTGGCTCATTCAAACCCAGTGCTCCCTACCCCTCCTCTCCTCCTTTACCTGCACTCCCCAACACACACACACACACACTCAAGCTCAGCCACTTGAACCTTTCTGTGCCTTGGTTTCCTCATCTGCAAAGGGGGAGTCATGGGTAAACCTACCCCACAGGGAAGCCAGGAGAATTAAGTTGAAGTGTACGTGGAACCCTCTAGAGAGAATGCCCACAATACAAGCCTTGATAAAGGGGGCAGCTACTGGCCTTGGTGTGGCCAAGGGGTCCTCTATCTCTCCTGGCCTCTGCCTCTCCTTCCAGATCCTGAACGGGTCCTGAGAATATCTCAATCTGGGGGTGCATCTGGATGAAGGGGACTCCTTGAGGTGAAACTAAAAAGAGAGGACAGCTGTGAAGAGTTTTATAAGCTGCCAGGTGCCACCCGACATGCCCCCTTGCCAGGGCAGCAGCTGAGCAAAGCTCTCCTGCAGACTCTCCCAGTGAGCCACTGATAATAGAAAGGCCCTGGAGAGAGCAGCCCCCTCCAGATCAGTTTTGGAAAACAGACTCTGCCCAGTGCCAGGCTGCGCATGCGGCTGGCCCAGAGGGTGTGGCGCTGGTGGCCAGCCCTAGGCTTGGGGATCAGCAGGGTGGGGCAGCCCTCCAGGTCTTGGAAGGAATACAGGGACTTCCTAGGATGGTGCAACTGAAAACGCTGCTTGGGAGGGGGGACAGGCAGGGTGTGTGGGGGACAGGCAGGGTCCGGTGGGCCTGTGATGCCCCCTCACTCGAGTCAGACGTTGTCCCTGGTCAGCCCAGCAGGAATCCCTGAGCACTCTGGGATCCTCCAGGCTGTCTCAGCCAAAGTTTCCCCAGCTCATTGTGTGCCTGAAGGCAGGATAGTCCAATGGTCATAGGCAAAGTCACTGGCCATTTGCCTCACATTTGCCACTAGTGAACCGGGCAGCATGGCCTGGGAACGACTATCTTAGCAGATTCCCTAGGGGAGGATCTGGCTCTGGAGAGTTGCTTAAGGCCACTGTGATTCCAATTACACGACCCCAGTCTCACCACAGGGTGGCTTTCTTCCGTCCTTCAGTGCTGGGGAAGCTGGGGCTGGTTGAGCATGGACCAACTGTCCAGCAGGCGGGCACACAGGCCAAGCCCATGCCATCCCGGCCTGCCCGCCTGCCTTTGCCAGGCAGCTCCACCTTCCAGCCCTGACTACCTCTGCTGGCCCCCAACCCCAGCTACCAGCCCTCCTACCCACAGACCCTCCTCCTGCAGACCCAAACAGCCTCGGAAACACATTCATGCTAATAAGCTGCTGCCGGGCCTGCACATCTGCTCAGCAGAAGTCCCCGCAGACCTCACCAACAACCCTGCCCGCTCCAGCAGCCTCCGACCCTTGGGGTTGCGGGTGGGGGGGAAGGAGCTAAACTCAGTCTGAAATTTCACTTTAAAATGATGAGGCCATATCCCCAGCTAATGAAGAGCACTTACTTCCCCGTCCACCCCTCCAACACATAGGCCCAGGAGAGAGGTCCGGCATGCAGGGGTGGGTGGAGAGGGGTGGGGGTCACCAAGGAAACGCTCCAGCCTGGCCTCTTCTTTGGCCCCAACTCAAGGCAAACCACGCCCAAGCAGCCCCAGCATCTGGGGGAGTCTCAGCAGGCTGGCGGTTTAGATGGTAACAAAGGGCAAGGGGATCCTAGTTGACAAGTTACTTCCCCACCCCCATTCTCTGCCAGCGGGTTGTTTTCCGGGGGTGCTCCCGGTTACAGACTGGTGGCCTCCCGCTGGGTGAGGACCTCAGAAAGTCTGGAAGTGTGTCCTTCTCCCCTGATGCCCGCCAAGGGCTCTGGCCACACCAAGGCCAGCAGCTTGTCCCCTTTACCGAGGTTTGTAAAAGATCAGAATCGCCGGGCCTGGGAGCGGGCCAGGGGGCAGGTGGCCGGCAGCAGGATCCTGTAGCGCACACGGCCTCTCAGGGGTGGAATTCTTAGGAGAACTGAGCCCCCGGAAAGGCTGGCTCTCCCTGCCCCAGTCTCAATTCCGAGGGGATGACCCAGGCCAGGCCCTGGGGAAGGAAGGCGGGAGGGTTTGGCGTCTTTCACCAGGTCTAGGAAACTATCCACGAACCCACCTGGGGGGACCCACCGAGCCTCCGATGCTGGGGGACCAGGAACCGGAGGGTGGGGGTCAGGGAGGCGCGTATTCAGAGCAGACTCCCACAGAGGGCTGCGCGGACAGAGAAAAGGAGAGGACATGAAGGCAGAGACAGAAACCCAGGGAAACTGAAAACGAAGGCGGAGGGGAAGCAGACCGAGGGGCAGAACCGGCGCGTAGGGGCGGAAATGCAGCGAGCTACGGAGCAACAGGGCCACACGGATGCGGAGGGAGAAGCCGAGGGTGGGCAGAAGGGACGCAGAGGGTCCTCGGGCGGAGAGGCCCGGGCAGAGCCGCAGGGCGCGCGAGCCCCGCTGCCGAGCCCCGGTGCTGCCCGGCGCCCGCGCGACCCGCCGGGCTCTCCTTCGGCCGCGCATCCTCCTCCCACTTTCTCTCTGGGCCGCGGAAACTCCTACCGAGGAACGGAACCCCGAGCCCGGCTGGGGACGAACTCAGGACTCGGAGTGCCCCGGCCACTCCGTGCCGCGCCCACGTCCCCGGCGCCGGCGGCCGGAGTCGCCCGGCCGGCCCGTGAGTTCCCGGGCTCGGTGGCGGCGCCTCGCCCAGTGTCCGCGGCCGTCCGACGAGCAGCTGGCGGCGGGGGCGCGGCGCGGCCACAACGGCCGAAGCCTCCCGTAGCCGGGAGCCCGCGTGCCGGCCCGGGCGGGACTTACCGCGCGCGGCGGCGGCGGCAGGGAGCGCGGCGCGCCCGCGGGTCCTCGGAGCTAGATGTGAGCCGCGGGGTCGCAGGCCGGGGCGCCCCGGGAGGCTGGGCGAGGCGGCCGGCAGGGCTGGCTGCGCTGCGCGCCGTCTGCGGCCCGGGCGGGCGCGCGGTGCGGGGGAGCGGCGAGCGGAGCGGCTCCGACGTCAGGGTGTCTCGGCTCCAAATAGGGAGCGAGGGCGGGGGAGCGAGGGGAGGGACGCGCGAGAAAGAGCGGGCGGGAGCGCGGCCGCTCCCTCCAGGCGCGCAGGAGGGGCGCCGCGGCCGCCCGGCCCCCGGCCCCTCTCCCCGCCCGCCCGCCCGCCAGAGCTTGGCCGGAGCTCCGCGCGGCCCGACGGCGCGGGGCAGCGGCCCGCAAGCCTGGCCGGCGCCGCAGACACACGACAGCGAACCGGGTGCCCCAGCCGATTCTCAGGCGCCCTCCCTGGGTTTCTCTGCCCTTCAACTTCTCTCCGCCTGACTTTTCCCGAGACTGGGCTCCCAGGCCGGGCCAGGCCTCGGGGTGACAAAGATGGAGGTGTCCTTTTTTATGGGAACTGGGCATTCTTCTTGCTCTGAGAATGAGGCGCTCCAGCCCACCGAGTCCCGCCACCGGGAGCCCATCACACTCGGCAGTCCTGCGGTGCGCCCATCCTATCGGCTCCTGGGCTTGCAGCCAGTTTCGGGTCTATACTGTTTCTATGACCTCTGATCTGCTCCAGGCACTTGACTTAAGCATCCAAGAAGGGGCTGAGAGCCCCAGAAAGGACTATTCCGAACCAGAAGGCCAGAAAATGACTCAAATGACTCGTTTCTCTGGCTCTTGGGGAAGAGCGGGATGCCTGGTCCAGGGTCCAGGGTCCAGCCTCACCTGGGGTATTCATCTAATCGGTGGGCACTGCAGTGGATTGTGGTAGGACCAATCTCTTCCAACGGAGTGAGAAGATAGCTTTGCTGCCTAAAAATGGTAGCTCACAGTGTTGGACTTCGGGGTTTTGCTTTACATTATGGTCACCTATGTCCATATTTTTTAACTCAGCTAGGCTGGAAGCTCCCAGATGGACTCCACACCTGCTCATCCAATGTTACAGGGTTGCCCAGCATCCTAGGTGGCTCCTAGTGGCCTTGTGGCAGCCCCTGCCCTACTCCAGCCTGTCTGCACTCTCCAAACACAGCACCCCACCTTGCTATTGCCTGTGCTGTGCCATCTGCTGGGGTTTCCTTCCCCACCCTTCATCTCCTGGTAAACTCATTCTTCAAACACCATACTGGAAAGCCTTCCCAAGACCTTTGGGTAACCGTAAGTTCTCCCTCCCCCAGGTGTGATCCTGGAGCATGGGATCCATCTGTCCATGCTAATCTCCCTCTAGGATAACTGTGCACATCTCTTCCTCCATGAGACTTTGGGCTCCTCAAAGGCAGGGCTCATGTGCTTCAGGATCCCCAGTGTGTAAGGGGCCAGAAGAGATGTAAAACATATTTGGTTGAATCAAGTAATTATCCCCCATAGATTGGCTTTTCCAAAGGATAATTATAATAACTACATGTGCACAGCCTATTTCTAAGCACTTTCCACTTTCACAATAAATCTATTAGATAATATTGTTATCCTCACTTAATAAATGAAAACAAAAAAAAAAAAAAACAAGGCCTAGAGAGATAGAGGTTAAGTAGCTCATCTAAAGTCACACAGTGGGAGGCTTGAGGTTGTAGGACCATAAGTTCAAGTTCAGTCAGGGCAACTTAGCAAAACCCTCTTTCAAAACAAAAAGTCAGCAGGGCAGTGGCACATATCCGTAATCCCAGTGTTTGGGAAGCAGAGACAGGGGGATCACAAGTTCAAAGCCAGCCTAGGCAAAAAGCGAGGCACTAAAGAACTCAGTTTGATCCTGACTCTAAAGAAAATCCAAAAAGGCAAGGCT